GTTCTGAAAAAGTGGAAGCAGAGTCCTTGAATATTTCTGAGGCAGCAGTACAGAGATTCTTGTTAGGCAAGGAGTTGACAGGTTATCTGTGATAGGTGGGAATGTGATCAGATCAGCTATGATATTATTGAATGGTGGAGCAGGCTCGAGGGGCTGAATGGCCAACATCTGCTTCTACTTTGTACGCTTGTACATATATTCTATTTAAAAAGTTTGGTGTCAACTGAGATTGTAACAATAGTAAGTGTTATAAAAAGCCACAGATATTTACACTGGAGTATAGGGAGCCCGTCCTCAGTCTATAATTCATCACGTGTCTCTTAACCATTCACCTTATCCTCTGCCTGATCATTATGGAGTCATAAATTGTCTCTTCTTTGAAGGTTTAAAAAAAAACTGTGTGCAACAGAACAGGATCATCATAATATTTGAGCTTGAGTGGGAAACAGTTTATGCGCATGATAAACATATACCTTTCTTCAGGGAAGAAAACAGATCGTCCCTGGATGACTGTAGATGTAAAGGCTGATGAGAAACAGAACACAGAGGATGGTAATAAATGTGAAGTTCATCATACTGTAGGGAACAAAATTCAATAAAGAAAGCACGGAATAGATCTAAAACAGGGAACAACAGAGTGAAGAAACTGATTGGACCAGGCACATAAATATTGCAGCCACAATTGCAGGTCAGAGACAGGGAAATTTACAATAAGCAACTCACCTCCCTCCTCCCCAAAGCCTACCCACGATCCACAAGATGCAACCCAGTGGTGTGAAGGAATGCTTTTCACTTGTTTGGGCAAAAGGAGCTCCAAAAAAGCACAAGAGGCGTAACACTCTCAAAGCAGCCCAATTGATTGGCATCCTGTCTGCCACCTCAAAGTTCACACCCTCCAGTACTGACTCCCAATGCACAATGCACAATCCACAAGATGCAATGCAGCAACCCACCATGGCTCCTATGACAGCACTTTCCAAATACATGATGGTTTGGAAGGACAAGGGCAGCAGATACATGGGAACACCACTCCCTGCAAATTCCCCTCTAAGCCATGCACCATCCTGACTTAAAACTACATCACCATTCCCTCACTGTTGCTAAATCAAAATCCTGGAATTCCCTCCCATTTAACACTGTGGATATCTTTACATTACCACACTACAGCAGTTCATGACTGGCTCGCTATCACCTTCTCAAAGGTGTTGCTGAGGTAAACAATCAGTGCCAGTTTCCCAGAAAAGCCTACATCCAAGGAAGAGGAAAAAAGAATTGAGTATGAAAATGGAACTGCACCTAACATAAAAGGGAGTCCAAAGGTGTTTTCTAAACACACAAGTACTGAAAGGGTGGTATCGATTAATGACCAAAATAGAGTTATTGAGTCATACAGCTCAGAAACAGACCCTCCGTCCAACTTGCCCATGCCAACCAGACATCTCAATCTGGCCTAGTTCCATTTGCCAGCATTTGGCCATATCCATTTAAACCCTTCCTTTTCATACACCCATTTTAAATGTTATAATTTTACCTGCCTCCACCACTTCCTCTGGCAGCTCGTCCTATACAATGTACCACCCTCTGCAGTGAAATAGGTAGCTTTCAGGTCCTCTTTAAATCTCTCCCCTCTCACCTTAAACCTATACTGTGTCGTTTTGGACTCTCCCACCCTAGGAAAAAGACCTTGGCTATTCACTCTGTCCATGCCTCTCATGATTTTATAAACCTCTATATGGTCACCCCTCAGCCTCTGATGCTCGACGGAAAAAAAAACCCGGCCTATTCAGCCTCTCCCTACAGCTCAAACCTTCCAACCTTGGCAACATCCTTGTAAATCTTTTCTGCACCCTCTCAAGTTTAACAACCTCCTTCCTATAGAAGGATGACCAGAATTGCACATAGTATTCTAAAGTGGCCTCACCAACGTCCTACACAGTCACAACATGACGTCCCAACTCCAGTACTAATGTTCTGACCAATGAAGGCAAGCGTGCCGAAGTTTCTGACAATTCAGAAGGCATAGCTTATGTGCTGAATGAATATTTCGCATAGGTCTTTGCTAAAGAGGCTACTGCCAATGTAGCAGTAAAGAACAACGTAGTAGAAATTATTAGCATGATAAAAACAGATAAGGAGGTAAATAAAAGGTTGGCAGTATTCAAGTTTGGACAAGATCCTTTTGAGGTGTATCCTAGCTTACTCTGAGAAGTAAGCATGAGAGGGTCTAGCCATAATCTCCCAATCCTCCTTTGATATGAGCATGGCAGCAATGTACTGGAGGACTGCAAACATTACAAATCTGTTCAAAAAAGGGGAGAGTGATAAACTGAACAACTAAGCCAGCAAGCTTAGCACTAGCAATGGGAAAGTGTTGGAGTCATTAAAGCATGACACTGAGAAATGGCACTTGGAAAATCATGTATTATTAAATGAAACACAATGTGGCTTTGTTCAAGACAATTGTACTTTACTAACTTGACTGGGATCTTTGATGAAGTAATGGAGATAGACTGATGAGGGTAGTTTGTTAATGTACTGAACTCTGAAACGGGGCTTTTGAAAGAACCACCCATCAGGCTTCTTAACAATATTGAAATCTGTAGGATAAAAAGGACAGTGGCAAGATTGCTTTAAAAAACAATTATGCTGAAGTCCTGAAAACATACAGTCATCGTGAATGGCTGTCTTCAGACAGTGACATGATCCAACCTTTAGTAGTAAGATCAAACTTTGTCTGGATAAAAATGGAATTGCATGCAAAGGGCAGAATTTCTGAGTTTCCAGACGAACATGACTTGGAAACTCCGAAGAGGATCACAACAGACTTCAGGAAAGAATAATCTATCACAAATGTAAGTTGGGCAGTGAATTTTGATGCAAAAAAGTGGAAAGGGATAGCTTTTGGAAGGAAGAATAAGGAGAGGAAGTACAAACTGAATAGTATAATTTTAAAGGAGTGCAGATGATGACAGGGTAAGTCACTCCATTCACAGGTCCACTCTGCTTGCCAGTTCTCTTTCTCCTTTCTATTTTCCTCCCTTCTTCTCTTTCCTTCTGTAGTAATTCTATCTCCCCTTCCCACCACGCACCCCTTTTAACGACCTATCTACGGAGTCAGGAAGGATCCAGGTCGCGACCAGGAACCACGCGGCAGGAGGTGAATGCATGGGTTGTGTCCTGCATACACGTGACAATAAATGATTCAATTCAATTAAATTCAGTTAAAAAGAAACAGAGAGACCTTAGAAGTATGCATACAATTCTTTGATATGGGATCCTTGGCTTCTGATAAAGGAACTGAGTACAAAAGCAGGGAACTGGTATTAAATCTTTCTAAAACAGTGGTTAGACCTGAGCTGCTAGTTCTGGCCACCACACTTCAATGAGAACATCAAAGCCTTGAACAGGAGATTGACTGGAATGAGATTTGGGATATGGGACTGCAGTATGTGGAGAGGCCAGAGGAGAGAGTGTTGTTCTCCTCAGAGTAAAGAAGACTAAAGCCAGACTTAATAGATGTGTTTGAAATCCTGAATACTCATGATACAGTGACTAAGGAGTAAATAAGAAGCAACTATTTGCAGTGAGAGGAGCATTGGTAACCTAAAGGCACAAATTTACTGTTATTTACAGAAGAATCAGAGGCAAGATTAGAAGAAGACAGTTTCTGCAGTGATTTATTGTCATCAAGAACGAAAAAGTGGTGAAAGTAGATTCAGCAGTAACTTTCAAATAAACTCATGAGAAGGAAATGTTGGGTGTAGGGTGTAGAGAATGAGAGGGATAATAATTGGAATATATCTTTCAAAGAGCCAACAGAGTATACAAACACGAAGTGTTGAATGTGCAGTGGTAGTGTCACTACCTTTGGCCCTGAAGGCCCAGGGTTCAAGTTCCACCTGCTCCAGTGGTGTGTCATAACATCTCTGAACAGGTTGTTTAGAAAATATCTCAAATGGCTTCCTTTTGTGCTGTCTGATTGTATAATTCCATCAGTCAATACTCTGAAGTACGCAGACAACACGAGGCAGAACGTTATTAGAAAGTGCTGGTACAAATCAGTCAGGAAATGTGCAGATGTCAGTTTGGAATAGCTTCTGGCTCTGTCACACATCGGTAGAGTTTCTTTCAGGCCAGTGAATGGAGCAGCAGCTATGTGAGATCCACCAAAACCGAAGGCAGAAAACTGGATATCGTGGCAGATTCTCCCTCACCCATTGGATGCTTCCTCTGGAGACCAATTAGACCTTCATGACTCCGGGGTTCATTTCAACCCCAACCCTGATCCTGCAGGAGACCGCCAGGATAGGATCACTCCGCAGCCTGATTCCCATGTTGTTTGGGATTTATGGAAAGTCAGATCAGATACTGATCCAATTCCCTCAGTTTCCTGCTGATTAGAATGAACACCCTCCAACTCCAATACCCAAACCCCACACACCCTGAACACCCTCCAACTGACCCACACCCAAAGCAGTACATGATCAGCCACCAATCATGAAAAAGTCATGCACAACATGATTGTGTTACCATCTGAGCCACTCTCACAACACCACTGTGCCCTGCACTAACTTCCACATCAGATTCACGACTGCCAATAATATTAATTGTTTTGTTTTGAGCTGGTTAAATTATTTATATACACGTTAACCGTGGACCGTAAAATGGGTATATGCAGCAAAAACACGGTAGCCCTCCAAGCGGACTGTGTTCCCTACACTAACTCTATGCATTTTACGGTCTCGGAATGGTGTATATAATATTTTCTGGAAGTGGATGAGCGATCGTACATGTACATCACTGTTCCATTTCCGCCCCTGATCAAAAAGCAGGGTCTTTTTTAAATCGAAATCCTTTATCCCCTTTTGGACCAGAGGTTTTTTTTTTGGAATAAAAAGAGAATAAAAAAGGTCTATTTAAAAAAAGCAAATAGAGATATATGCACCATGGCATCAGATTGGGACCGAAAATGCACAAAGGTGAAGGTTTAAAAGACCAACCTTGGCGAAATATCGCATCCTTGCTGCATAAAGGCGCCCAGAGAGAACCAGAGACTGTTAAATATTCCAAATTCGTTGGTCTGGTCGAGACTTTGGGCATCAGGTCCGTCTTCGTACTCCTCTGTTTGCCACTCATAGGGGCTGAATCTGCTCACCAGGAACAGGACCACGCTCACACCAATGTAGGCGAACACGATGCACATCCAGATCTCGTACGCCAAGGGGTCCAGGAAGGAGAAAACCCCTGGTTTGGATTTCTGGGGTTTTTTAATCATGATGGAGATCCCCAAGCTCATGAAAGGTTTGGAAAAGTCAATGACCTCCTCCCGCACCAAGGTGATGGTTAATGGGGCCACTGCGATATCAGCTTTCTGAAAGACAAAATGGGTTAAAAGTTAATTGTCAAGTCACTGATGATACCCTCGTTCACTTATTTCTGATACCTAGTGAAAAGCTCTTTTAACATCCATTCCTCAACAGGTCAGGTAAAGAAAAACAGAGCATTGGCTCTTTAGCCTCAATGCTCTTTGTCAGAGTTTGCTGTACACACACTTGCTGTTCTCCTTTCAATGGTGAATACCCTTAAAACTTACTTAACTGGCTGTGGTGCAATCTGAAATGATACAATTAATGGTGCTAAAGAAATGCAGGTTTCTCATGCTATTGTTTCTCAGGTCAATGCCTCAACCAATCAGAGTCAACCTGTCTTATTTAAAATTTAAACAAAGTCTGGCAGTTAACTGTCAGTCATCATTAATAGTTGCATGCGTTCTCTATAGCAATACATCCATCAATCAGAGTCCACTTGCCAATTAAGCAGCAGTCTCCCCCCCATAAACAGTACAAATATTGTCTTCCCTTTATTTTGGCGTATACTGTGAATTGCACTGATTAGTGATAGACAAAAAGCTTTAACAAACTTTTTCAGCAATTATTTTTGATTATTCATTTGATCTGAAATTGTTCCTTTAGGTAGAGAGAAAGACTCCAGGGAGAATTTTTCCGCTCTTCTTCAGATAGTGCATGGGATCTTTTATGTCTGCCCAAGACGGCAGATTCAATTGTCAACCTTCATATTTCGCTGTGTGGAATAATTCTCCTCATCCCCAAAATACACTTTCTTTTCCCTCAGCTGTCAAATGAATCTGTGGTTTTTAATGGTCATCTTTTTAATTATTATGAAAGTGTCAAAAGACCATTCATCGAATATTCTTTTGTCTCCATAATTGTCTGGAATTGTTTAGGAGTGTCAAGTACTAAATCCTGCTCCATGTGTATGGAAACTTAGGTTAAACTACGTTTTCATTTTGACACTACTGGAAGGGTTGGCATGAAAACATAGAAGAGAGGGTTTAGGAGCAAGAGCAAGCCATTTGACCTCTTGAGCCTACTCATCCATTCAAAATGATCATGGCTGATCATCCAGCTCAACACCCTAACCCTACCCTCTCCCCCATCCCGTCATCCCTTTAGCCACAAGAGCTATATCTACCACCTTCTTGAAAACTCATAACGTTCTGGCCTCAACCACTTTCTGTGGTAGTGAATTCCACAGGTCTACTACTCTCTGGATAAAGAAATTTCTCTTCATTTCAGTTCTAAAAAGTTTACCCTTATCCTTAAATTATGAACCCTGGTTCTTGACATTCCCACTATTGGGAACATCCTTCCTGTATCAAACCGGTCTGTTAATTTTACAGTGTTTCTATGAAAACTTCCCCCACCCGCCAATTCTTTTAAACTCCAGTGAATGCAATCATAACCGGTTCTATCTCTCCTTACATGTCAATCCTGCCACCCCAGGAATCAGTCTGATAAACCTTTGCTGCACTCCCTCTATCGCAAGAATATTCTTCCTCAGATAAGGAGACCAAAACTCCACACAATATTCCATGGGTGCCTCACCAGTGCCCTGCATAATTGCAGCAAGACATCCTTGTTCCTGTACTCGAATACTCTTGCTATGAAGGCCATCATACAGTTTACCTTCTTTACTGAGATGCACCTGCATGTTTACTTTTGTGACTGGTATACAAGGATATCCAGGTCTTCTGAAAGTCCCCCTCTCTTATTTTACAGCCATTCGAATAATAATATGCCTTCCTATTTAGGCTCCTAAAGTAGTTAACTTCACATTTATTCACACAACACTCCATCTACCATGCATTTATCATCCATTCGTGATGGAACTGAGTGATACACTCAGCCACATCAGAAGGACTTAAAGAGCCAATCACTACCGACGTCAAATCGCAGCTGGAAAATAGTTTCTCTGTGATCACAAAACTGAAAGCAAAACTGTGGTTTGAAAACCTGGTTGATAAAGATGTGACTCGCTCTTGTTTGAGGTTACATTTAGTTTGTGACAGGTTACACAGCTGTGCACTTTTTCTGCCTGAACCACACTGTCACTACATATACTGGAAAGAGTACACTGATAATCATGCCTCACTGTTTCAAAGTCAATCACAAACTACATAAAGTCACAATTACAACACCATAATGATCAGATGCCTGAATAACTGCAATTCAGGACAAATGCAAGTCAAATGGAGGAGATGTTAAAAAGGGTTTAATGTTACCTATCAGCTCAGGAGCCTCAGCCATTATTGCTTCCAGTGTAGCAGTTGCAACCAAAAGGTCTTCAACATGGTTCCCAACAAAGAAAAACATTTTTAAATGTTTCCAAGAAAATAATCTCTCTGTGAGCTCTGTACATGATATTTACTCCTAATAGACAACTATCAAAACGTCTTTGCTATACCCTTTCATCGTTAATGTAGGTTTCTCCGACTGATTTCTCAAATTTTTGAAACGTTCGTTTGTATGCTTCACAATCTAACTCATGTGCATCCAGAATAGCTTTGTTACAATGTCACAACTCTGAGCGACTTCCTCTGATAGAGACGATTAGATTTGGTGAGCTCTACCTGTCAACTTGTTTGGAAATATCCAGTTTTCCTTCAGCCACTTCACTCGTTTTGCTATTTTCTCAAATGGCATAAGGAATGTCTCTGCATCCTTTTCCTCAAATTTTGGTAGGGACTGGAATCACAGACACTTCCACACTGCTGGGTACTAAGGGCAATTTAGCATGGCCAATCCACCTAGTCTGCACATCTTTGGACTATAAGAGGAAACTGAAGCACTGGAGGAAATCCATGCAGCACAAACTTTGCACACAGCTGGCCAAAGGTGAAATCGAACCCAGGTCCCCAGTGCTGTGGGGCACCAGTGCTAACCACTGAACCACCCTGCTGCCCCTTTACAAATGCTCCAACTTTACAAATTTAAGCATTTCCCTTTTGGACTTTAGATTGTGGCCAAGGTTTCTCTCATCTGAGCCTTCCTTGGCATCCAAAGTCCCTTTTTAACTGCATTATTTTAAGCTGGTATCCCCTATTTCTCTCCTCCTTTTCCCCTCCTCTCTTAAATTTTCTTTCTTCTGCCTCTTCTTCTGCCTGAAATGCTCATTTATTTCCTTTCACCTTTCTCTGAAGTTGAATCTTTTTCAGTTTCATTTTCCTTTCCATCCTTTTTTTAATTGCAAAGATCTTTCCTCTTTATTTCTTGCTCATGTTCAAGCTTCTTTAATATCAGTTGAATCTTTGCTAACTCAAGTGGCTCACCACTCTTTCTACCTAATCCCTTCTGTATGTCCACAAATCCCAAATGCTTTGCTATTATTTCAATTACCTCTGTCTTCTTGGATGTGACAGGCAATTCCACCTCTAATGTATTTGCAAATTCTATCAGTCTGGTTCCTATAAATCCATCAAGGATATTTCTTCCGACTGAAGGTTGGTCTTAGCTGTTTTCAATTCTATCTTACTTTAATATGAGAAACCTTGTATTTGTCATTTTATCCCTTACCATTTACCCTTACTCCACATCCAATTTTATGGTATCCTTGTTCAAAAAAACACCAGACCATGAGCCCCCAAACTTTTATGAGTTAACTGGGAAGAGTGCACCAATAATTTCACAAGCAGTCACATAACGTAAGAAGTCCCAAATATGGCAGCAAAATGCCTGACTGACTGCTATTCAAGACAAATACAAGTCATACCAGACATTGACATTAACAGAAACTAACTCTATTCATTACAACGTACTTAACTTTAATAAATCGCAGAGAAAATAATTCCTAATCTACTAATATGCTTCTTGAACTATATCCCTTCAAAATCCTCAGACACACACACACACACACACACACCTATTCATGATTAAGGTACTCAGGAATGACATACAGTTTTACATAGATATTATAAATATTAAGAATGTAGACAGGGTAAACAAAATTCCAAAGATCAAAAGTCCTGAATTAAAGGATGGGTTAAATTTTCTTACACAGTTCCTCTTAACATTTAGAATGATGATGCACTGCTATCTGTGAAGCAATGGGCATTGTTCACTTTAGCAGTTAATTCATGGACCTGGGTATTGTCTTGTTAGAATTTCTTCTTTTAAGCTGTTATTTTTGCCTTTTCCCCCACAGAGACAGAGCGAGAGGGAGAGAGATGTTTTCAGTTTGCAGGCTCTGTGTGCCTCTGCCTGCCCTGGTACTTATAACTTTGTAACAAACTGTAGCTCAACTAATTAGAGGGCTAACATCAGGCAGAATTTCACAAAGTGTCCCTTTAATTTTGTACCCATTTTACATCTCTTTTTCTCCTTCTCCACTGTTGACAACACCTTTGTTTTTTGCCCTGGCCTTGTGTCTCCGTCAAAAATATGAAAACAAATACTGATTCTCAATCCTTCAGCTGGGCTTCTCAACAAGAACGAACGTGTATGTCTGTAACTGAGACAAAGCAAATATAGACTGAATGAAAGCTTCTTTCTTTGTCAGGGATATCGAGTCATAGCTTCATAGAGTAACACAGCATGGAAACAGACCCTTTGGTCCAACTCGTCCATGCCAATCAGATATCCTAAACTGATCTAGTCCCATCTGCCAGCATTTGGCCCATATCCCTCTAAACACTTCCTATTCAGGTACCCATCCAGACGTCTTTTAAATGTTGCAATTGTACTCTCCTCCACCACCTCCTCTGGCAGCTCATTCCATACACGTGCCACCCTCTACGTGAAAAAGTTGCCCCTTAGGTCCCTTTTAAATCTTTCCTCTGTCATCTTAAAACTATGGCCTCTAGTCTTGGATCCCCTACCCTTGGAAAAAAAGACCTTGGCTATTCACCCTATCCATGCCCCTCGTGATATTTTGTCATTCACCTCAGAATTGAACTTGTTAACTCTAAGGTTACTCAAGGACAGTGCTCAGTGATATAGCAGATGTGTTTCTACCGACCAGCCCTGTTTATAGAGGGCTTTTAACCTTTGCTAAAACCTGATCACACACCATGTACAGGCTTTGAACGACCAAGTGTGGTACGTTATGCTGACCCCAAAGTGTCAGTGATAGTGACACATGAAACTCACTGAATACACAAGCTCGCCGACCATCCCATTCCACACTTTGGAGTCTGGATCCCTTGCTCCGTATTTTCCGTCTGCCACGATTGCGAGTTTGTACTTGAAGCCCACGTGCTTGGCAATCTCCGCTGCCAGCTCCACACAGTAACCTTCGTATTTATCGTTACCTTCTAGCTGATCGTGATTCTTCTTCAGCATCACATAAGGAGGTTCCTGCCAACACAAAGCACTGAGTCAACAGGGCAATATCCTGCTCATTCAATCAGATGCTTCAACCATTGTCCCAGGTTCACCCGAATGGCATATGAGCCAGGACTGGAACCAGGACTAGATCCATCACCCGGGGCTTTGCAGCTCAGCTAAGCTCCACCCCAACTCAAACAGGATCTAGTATGAATTCTGGAGTGAAGTGTCCCAAATCAGAACAATGAAATCTGGGATGAAACTTGCTCCATGTGGACAAGGGTCCACATTCACCCAACCAGAGACTGCCACTAAACAATCAATCATTTATTTACAGATCAGTGGGGAAATAAGCTGCCAAGGGGAAACAGGCCAATTAAGAAACTCGAGCTACAAGGTCAGAAGTCACACAACACCGGGCTATAGTCCAACAGGTTTATTTGAAATCACAAGCTTTCAGAGTGCTGCTTCTTCATTAGGTGAAGTGAACAGCGCTCCGAAAGCTTGTGATTTCAACCAAACCTGTTGGACTATAGCCTGGTGTTGTGTGACTTCTAACCTTGTCCACCCCAGTCGAACATCAGCACCTCCACATCAGGGCTGCAAAGTGACAGAGAACATACAACGTAAGGCACAGTGAAATTATCCACTGTTGTAGGAAGAATAAAAATGAATAACATTTTTTAAAATGGGAAATATTGAGTGGAATTTGGAAGTTCTTGCACACAAATCAGAGCAAGTTAATACTCCGATACAGCAGGAAGACAAATGATATGTTAGCCTTAATTGCAAGAAGACTGGAGCACAAGAGTAAGTCTTTAAGATAAGAAAATGTCTTTTTAAGTCTTTCAGTAAGTATATAGAGCTCTAGTTAAACAACAAGTAGGGTGTTGTAGAGACAACAAGGTGTAGAGCTGGATGAACACAGTAGGCCAAGCAGCATCAGAGGAGCAGGAAAGCTGACATTTCGGGTCTAGACCTTTCTTCAGAAATTTGAAATCACAAGCTTTCAGAGTGCCGCTCTTTCACTGGGTGAAGTGAACAGCGTTCCGAAAGCTTGTGATTTCAATTAAACCTGTCGGACTATAACCCTATAAGTAGGGTGTTGTGTACAGTTCTTAAGAAAGTTTATATTGACTTCAGAGTAGGTGCCACCAAAAGAAAATGACGAGATTGATTCATTGAGAGGGCTGTACTGTGAACAGAGTTTGAATGAAATAGGTCTGTCTTCTCTCGAGTTTAAAAGAATGATAAGTGATCTTGCTATGGCAAATTCTTTGAGGGTCTCACAGGGGTGATTCTGAGAAATGTTTTCTCCTGGACAGAACTGAAGGATATATTCTCAGGATAAGGAAGCAACCATTTGTGATTGAGATGAGGAGAAATATTGCAAACCTTTGAAATTCTCTCCCAGTTTGCTGTGGAACTTGAGTTGTTTTATATGCAATGCTTAGATGGATAGTTTATCGGACATCAAGGAATTCAACATATGGGAGGTTGTGGTTTAATGGGATGTGGGCATTATTGGCACAGCTAGCATATGTTGTCATTCCCAAATGACTCCTTGAGCTGATTGGTTTGCTAGGCCATTTCATAACAGACAATAACATTGCTGGGGGTCTGGAATCACATGTAGGCCAGATCAGGCAAGGATGGTAGATTTGCTTCCTGTAGTGATTGGAACCAGGTGGATCTTTTTGACTATGAGATCCTTGATTGGGGTTGTTAACCCTGTGAATCAGGGAGCCCTGGGTGATAGATATAAACAGGAGTTGCAGAATCTCCTCACTGTAGGGACCAACTTCGAGCTGGCTAGCCACAGCCAGTGTATGGGGCACATGTAAATAAAGGGTGGCTTGGTAATCGGCCTCTGTGTAGTTATTTCACATCCCTAAAGGGCATTGGTGAATCAGGTGGTTTGTACAACAATCTGTGAGAATTTCCTGGTTGCCATTACTACAACTAGTTGGTAAATCCAGAGTTTATTAATTTAAATATTGCAATTTGAACCCTTGTCCCAAGAATATTAGCCTAGTCCTATGGGATAATTCCAGTGATTTTACAGGTATGTCACCATCTCACTAAGGGTAAGCATACAAGAGCTGTAATGAGGCTGAAGCCTGCTCCTGCTTTTATGCTGATGATTGAATTATTTGATGCAGTTACCACCAACATCCATTTTCTGAACATGAAACCTTTAGCCCATTAGTGATTCCTCGTTAATTACATTTCAAATCTTAACGTATTTCTTTTATTGGTCTCACCTGACAGATCACAGGTCCTAATGCTATTACACACATCAGTGGCTACAAACAAACAGGGAATGCCTGGACTGTGTTTTCCTTGCTCCCAGTGCTATTGGACTAGTGAGGTGGTGACCTACTGGTGTTATTGCAATAAATCAAAGGTTCTCACCCTATTAAACTATTTGTGTTGGTTTCAGGCTTATGTGGGGCCAGTCTGCAGACCTGAGTTATACTGCCAGTTACTGAATGTTAATATTGTGAATGCTGTGACAATTCAGCATGTGGATATTTTCTAATCAACCTGATGAGATACATATACCATGGGAGAAGTACAACAGAGGTTCACTTGATAAATCCCACAGTTTGCAGGATTTTCTAACGAGGTGAGATTCAGGAAGTGAGACTGTATTTTCCAGAGTGTCACAGAATGAGAAGTGATTGCATTGAGATACACAAAATTCTTACAGAGCAAGACAGAATAGATAGAGATTAGATGTTTCCTCTGGCTGGTGAGTCTAGAACCAGGGGCGTAATCTCAGGAGCAGGCTACTGGGAACCGAGAGGAAGGATAATTTCTTCAGTCAGAGGCTTACAAGTCTTTGGAATTTTCTACCCCAGAGGGATGAGGGATCTCGATCATTGAGCACATTCAAGACAGAAGTCGATAGATTTTTGGAGACTAATGACATCAAGGGATATAGTGGGAGATGGTGTGGGAAATTGGCAATGAGGTAGATGATCAACTAAATGGTAGAGGAGGTTTGATGGGCTGAATGGCTTACTCCAGTTCCTACATTCCTCAGAACCAAAATAGGTCAGCAGGAATTGGAGGCGATGGGTGAACAGATCTTAAAGCAGGTCAGGGTACAGGTGGCAGAGCACTGGAGAAGCCAAAGGTTACAGAGGGTGTAAGGTGAGGTGTCAAAGGTTGATGACATCCTGATGGGCTAATACTTTTATATGAGATGTATTGTGAAAATTTTGGCTGAATTTATCACTCCTCTCACTTGTGGCAGAGATGGCAGTCAGATGGCCTACCTCAGTCCTGGGTTCACGGTGTCAGTTTTATGGAGAAGTGGATCAAGTTTCAGCTCTAAGATATGTGTCAGTATCAAGTACTTTTACACGGAGAATTTTAATGAGTAAAAGAAGTTGATAAGGTCAAAGCAGGTAAATTATTTCCTCTGGGAGGGAGAGACCAGGATAAGGAGACATAATGTTGACATTTGAGCCAAGTCATCTGGGAGTGATAACAACCAGCACTTCCTCACACAAAGGATACAACAAATCTGGAACTCTCGCCGTCAAAATACTATCGAAACTGGGAGATGAATGAAAACTTTAAATCCGAGATGGATTGATTCTGGAAATGAAAACAGAAAACACTAAAAAACACTCAGCAGGTCTGGTAGCATCTGGTGAAAGAAACAGACTTAATATAGCAGGTCAATAACCTTTCACTAGAACCCATTGACCAGAAAGTTAACTCTATTTCTCTCTCTCGAGATGCTGCCAGAGTGACTGAGCATTTCCAAAAAATTCCGGGATTTTTTTGCCTTCAGATTTCCATCATCTGCAATATTTTGCTTGTCTTTTTCTTCATGGGATGTGAATATCGCTGGCACAGTGATGCTGCTCATTCCTATTCATCTTTGAACTGAGTACCTTGCTAGGCCATTTCAAATGTATTTTTAAGAGCCGACAACCTTGCTGTGGGTCTGGAGTCACATACAGGCCAGACTAGGTAAGAATGGCAGATTTCCATCCCTAAAGGGAATTAGTAATCCAATTTTTCTTTTAATAACAACTCATGATAGCTGCCATGCTCATGGAAATTTGCCTTATTTTACGGGGGTTGGAGTATAAGAGTAGGGAAGTCTAACTGCAACAGTATAAGGTGCTAGTGAGACTATAACTGGAGTACTATGAGCACTTTTGGTCCCCTTACTTAAGGAAAGATATCACTTGGGCGCAGTTCAGAGAAGGTTCACTAGGATGATCTTTGGTATGGAGGCATTGTCTTACGAGCAGAGGCCAACTAGGTTGGGATTCTGTTCACTGGAGTTTTAGAAGTATGCAAGACCATAAGACATAGGAGCAGAAAATAGGTCAGTCAGCCCATCAAGTCATGGCTGATAAAGTTTTTCAACCCCATTCTCCCGCTTTCTCCCCGTAACCCTTGATCCCCTTGACAATCAAGAACCTATCTATCTCTGTCTTAAATATATTCAATGACCTGACCTCCACAGCCTTCTGTGGCAGTGAATTCCATAGGTTCACCACTCTCTGGCTAAAGAAGTTTCTCCTTAGCTCCGTTCTAAAAGATGTTCCCTTTACTCTAAGGTCGTGCCCTCGGGTCCCAGTCTCTCCTACCAATGGAAACATCTTCCCAACATCCACTCTGTCCACGCCATTCAGTATTCTGTAAGTTTTAATTAGATCCCCCCTCAACCTTCTAAACCCCATTGATATATAGACCCAAAGTCCTCAAACATTCCACATATGTTAAGCTTTCATTCCCGGGATCATTCTCGTGAACCTCCTCTGAACCTGCTCCAGGGCCAGTACACTTTTCCTGAGATATGTGGCCCAAAACTGCACACAATACTCCAAATGTGGCCTGACCAGTGCCTTATAGAGTCTCAAAAGTACATCCCTGCTTTTATATTCAAGTTCTCTCAAAATAAATGTCAAAGTTGCATTTGCCTTCCTACCTACTGACTCAACCTGCAAGTTTACCTTTAAAGAATCCTGGACTAGAACTCCCAAGTTTCTTTGCACTTCAGATTTCTGAATTTTCTCCCCATTTATTCTTCTTACCAAAGTGCATGACCTCACACTTTACCACATTGTACTCCATCTGCCACTTCTTTACCCACTCCCCTAGCCTGTCCGAATCCTTCTGCAGCTTCCCCGCATCTTTAATACTACCTGTCCCTCCACTTATCTTTGTATCATCTGCAACTTAGCCAGAATGCCCACAGTTCCTTCATCTAGATCATTAATGTATAAAGTGAAAATTTGTGGTCCCAAAACTGACCCTTATGGAACACCACTTGTCACTGGCTGCCATTCTCAGAAAGACCCTTTTATCCTCATTCTCTGCTTCCTGCCAGACAGTCAATCTTCTATCCATGCTAGCACCTTGCCTCTAATACCATGGGCCCTTATCTTACTCAGCAGCTTCCTGTGTGGCACCTTGTCAAAAGCCTTCTTGAAGTCCAGGTAGATAACATCCATTGGCTGTCCTTGGTCTAACCTGCTCATCACTTCCTCAAAGAACTCTAACAGATTTGTCAGGCATGACCTCCCCTTGATGAAGCCATGCTGACTTTGCCCTATTTTACCATGCACTTACTTCCAAGTATTTAGAAATCTCATCCTTCACAATGGACTCCAAAATCTTACTCACGACCGAGGTGAGGCTAAATGGCCTGTAATTTTCAGTCTTTTTCCTTACTCCCTTTTCATTGAAGCATATAGGATTCTTAACAGGCTTGACAGGATAAATGTTGAGAGTCTAGGACCAGATGGCACAGTCTCAGAATAAACAGGCACCAATTTAAGACTGAGATGTGCAGGAATTTCTTCCCTCAGAGGGTTTTGAGTCTTTCGAACTCCTTGCCTCAGAGAGCCATGGGGGCAGAGTCCTTGTGTATGTTTATGGCTGAGATAGATTATTGATGAATTGGGGGATCAAGGGCTATGGGGAAAACACAGAAAAGTTGACATGAGAAATGTAGATCAGCCATGATCCTATTCAACAGCTGGGCAGGCTCTAGGGGCTAAACAGCCTAATCCTGTTCCTATTTCTTATGGTTTTACAGTATTATATTGGTTTTATATTCCAGAGTTATTAACTGAATGTAAATTCCAGCAGCAGTTGTGGAGAAATGTGAACATGTATCCCCAAAACATTCATCTACCCCTCTGGCTAGTTCAGTGACATTACCACTACATCACCATATTCTCAATGTTGGATGTCTGAATGATTTTTGTTGGATAATCATACTAAGGGTTATAGAACCAAGGCAGGTATGTAGAGTTAGAATACAGATCAGCTATGGACTCAGTCAATGGCAGAACAGGTTCAAATGGCTAAATGGCCTCCTTCTGTTTCTTTAATTCTTAGAAACCCCCCACCCCTCCAGAGACGTTGTCACATGGATCAACTATGTAAAGGATACCATAGGAACAAAGGAGGCCATTCAGCCCCTGAAGCACACTCTGTTGTTCAGTGAAATTTTGACTAGACTTTATTTCTTTCTTGGTTCCATATACAGAAATATGAGAAGTTATTATTGTTCACTCAGCAACCCATTGGTTGATCACACTCAGTGTAGCAACACTTACTAAGATTGTCGTTACAAAATACGTCCGATTCTGGATGCCACTGGTGTCGTTGCCAATGTGATGGTCCCCTGTTGTTGCAACAAACTTGTCATCTTCATTCCAATATCCAATCTGTAAGAAGCAGTATTAATGTCCATGTTCCATTCCAAGCCACTCACCATCCCAACTAGAAAATACATCATCATTCATTTACTGTTGCTCAGTCAAAATCCTGTAAACTCCTCCCTAATAGCACATAGATCTACCTACACTAAATGTAAAGCAGCCGTTCAAGAAGGCAGTTCACCACTACCTTGTCAACGACAATCAGGAACGAGCAATAACTGCTGGCAGGTTTGCCATTCTGGATACTGTAGGGGGGATGGCCTCTCAGGGGAGTATTGCACTGACAGCTAGGTTTCTGGTACCGTGACTGGCTCTACTGTAATGAGGGTTATGTCGGGTTCCAAGCAATCGATTGTAATAGGAGACTCTCTGGTCTGGGGAACAGACATTTCTGTAGCCGTCAGCAGACATTAGGATGGTGTGTTGCCGCCCTGGTGCCAGGGTCAAGGATTTCTTGGAAAAGGTACAGAATATTCTGAAAGGTAAGAGTGACCAGTAGGAAGTCATTGTTCACCTTGGTACCAATGACATCAGTAGGGAAAGGGATAAGGTTCTGCAGAGAGAATATACGTAACTCTGCAGGAGGTTAAAAAGTAGGTTCTCAAGGGTAGTAATATCTGGACTACTACTGGTGCCACATGCTAGTGAGAGTAGGAACAGGAAGAGACAGCAGATGAGTGCATGGCTGAGGAGCTGGTGCAGAGGGCAAGGATTCACATTTTTGAACCACTGGGATCTCTTCAGAGATAGAAATGGCCTGTATAAGAGGGACGGGTTCCACCTGAATTGGAAGGAGACAATATCTTTGCAGGGGGATTTGCTAGTGCTACAGAGGCTTTAAACCAGTAAGGTTGGGTGGAAACCAAAATGATAGTGAGAAAAAAGAAAAGGTTGAGGTTAGTGCAGTAGATAAGGGACCAACTCAAGTAGTCAAGGCAACGAGAGCCGGGCACAGAATGAGGTAAGACTGATAAATTAAACTGCATTTACTTCAATGCAAGAGGACTGACAGGTAAGGCAGATGAACTTAGGGTATGGTTGGAAACAAGGGACTGAGATATCATAGCTATTACAGAAATGTGGCTCAGGGAAGGATAGCACTGGCAAATTAATATGCTGGGGTATAGATGCTATAGGAAGGATAGAAAGCAAGGCAAGAGAGAAGGGGGAGTGGTGTTTTTGTTTAGGGATAACATCATGGCTGCACATAGTGAGGATATTCTTGGAGATAGTCTAGTGATGTTGTATGGGTGGAACTGACAAATAAGAAAGGGATGATCGTCTTGTTGGAATTGTATTATAGGCTCCCAAATAGTCAGTGGGAAATTGTGAAGCAAGTATATGAGGAGATCTCAGATATCTGTAAAAATAATAGGGTAGTAATGGTAGGGCATTTTAACTTCCCAAACATAGACTGGGACTATCATAGCATTGGATGGACAGGAATTTTTTTAAGTATGTACAAGAAAACTGCCTTTTTCAATGTATCAAAGCATCTACTAGAGAAGGAGCAATACTTGATCTCTTCTTGGGAAATAAGGCAGGGCAAGTGATCATAGTTCTATTATTTTTAAATATGAACAAGGACAGAATTGATCACAAAGTTAAATTGGAGTAAGGCCAACTTTGATGGTATTGACAGGAAGTTTCAAAAGTTGACTGGGGGAGGCTATTCGCAGGTACAGAGATGGTTGGGAAGTGGGAGGCCTTTAAAAATGAGATAACAAGAGTTCAGAGTCAGTATGTTCCAATTAGTGGGATGGCAAGACTGGTAGGTGTAGGGAATGCTGGATGACTAAGAGAAATTGACATTCTGGTTAAGGAAAAAAAGAAGCATACATCAGGTATGAACAGCTGGGATCGAGTGACTCCCTAGAGGAGTATAAGGGCAGCAGGAGTATACTTAAGAGGGAAATCAGGAGGGCAAAAAGGGGACATGAGGTAGCTTTGGCAGACAGAGCTAAGGAGAATCCAAAGACATTCTACAAGTACATTAAGGGCAGAAAAGTAGCAAGTGGGAGAATAGGGGCCATTAAGGATCAACATGGCTGTCTATGTGTGGAACCACTGGAGATGGGTGAAATACTAAACGAATATTTCACGTCACTGTTTACTGTGGAGAAAGACATGGAAGCTAGGGAACTTGGAGAAATAAATAGTAATGTCTTGAAAAGAGTTCATGTTATAGAATAGGTGGTGCTGGAGGCCTTAAAATGCATAAAGGTACATAAATCCCTGGCACCTGATCAGGTGTATCCCGGAACTTTGGCGTTGTCTATGTGGACTTCAGCATAGTGTTTGACAAGGTTCCGAATAATAGACTGGTTAGTAAGGTTAAATCATTATAGCATCTGGGGCAGCTAGCCAGTTGGATTCAAAATTGGCTTGAAGGTAGGAAACAAAGAGTGAAGGAGGGTCTTGACTTGAAACATCAGCTTTCCTGCTCCTCTAATGCTGCCTGGCCTGCTGTGTTCCTCCAGCTCCACACTGTGTTATCTCTGACTCCAGCATCGGCAGTTCTTACTGTCTCTGAGTGATGGTAGAGGGTTGTTTTTTCGAGTGGAAGCCTGCTACCAGTGGTGCGCTGCAAGGTTTGGTGCAGGATCCACTGGTTAGAGGGTATAGGTGGTTTAGGGGTGGTTATAGGTGGTTTGGGGGTTTATAGGTTCTTTGGGGGTACAGGTGGTTAGCGGGTACAGGTGGTTTGTGGAGTTTAGGTGATTTTGGGGTTATATATGGTTTGGGAGTTATAGGTGGTTTAGGGATGTATAGGCAGTTTGCGGGGGTAGGTGGTTTCAGGTGTATGGATGGTTTGGGTTTGTATGCTTGGGTAGCTTGGGTTCATGGTTTATATGTGGTTTGGGGTTCCGGTGGTTTGGGAGTAGTGATTTGGTAAACTGGTTTGGGTTTGTGGTGGCATCAGGGATTGGGGATTGGACAGCAGATGGTTTGGGGTATAGCTGGTTGGGGACACACCTAGATTAAGGGCATGGCCGGTTAGAAGATACAGGTGGCATGGCATACAGAGGCTGTACGGCTACAGATAGGATGGTGTTCAGGTAGTTTTGGGCTACAGCTGATTCGGGAGTATAGGTGGTAAGGATGATTTGTTGTATTGGGGATAAACATGGTGAATAATGCTTGTTGCTCGTATTGGCTGTGATGGGCTGTATTGAAGGTGATTGTATTAGCGGTGGTGGGCTGTATTGAAGATATTGTGCAAGATTCACTTACCTTTCTAATTCCATCACTTTTCAGCTCCAACACATTGACAGTGTAGTTGGTCCGATGTCCAAATTCATTAAACTGAATGTTCCCAGTTAACCCATCACTACGAACCTGAAGTTCAACCAAACACAAAACCCATTTCAGCATGGAGAGGGAGATTTATTCTGTATTTAACCCTGTGTTGTACCTGCCCTAGAAGTGTTTGATGGGGATAGTTCAGAGGGAGCTTCACTCTGTATCCAACCCTGTGCCATACCTGCCTGGAGACTGTTTGAAGGGGACAGTGAAAAGGAGCTTTACTCTGTATCTAACCCCGCTCTATATCCGTCTTGGGAGTGTGATGGTACAGGGTAGAGAAATCCTCAGGAGTTTCCCCGTCACAATATTGTACCTGCTGTAAGGCTCGTTGAATGTCTATCCCTTGACCCCAAGGTACAGCAGGATTTGCCAAACAGTCTCCTGCATTTCCTCTCCGAGAGATGTCGATCCTTGTCTTGCGTAGGTACTTGAAAGCTTCAGACAGCACGAGCACTCCATCAAAGGTCATAGCTGACGTATACTGCAGGAGAGGAAAGGGAAATGTACTGAGAGTGAGATCCTGTCTGAGAACCAGGACACGAATACAAGGTGACACAGTGTAAATGAGACGCTGACAGGGTGTGATCAGAGAGCTGCTGAAATCAGCAACTGACTGAAAGGCTGAGTCTCTGGCTGGCAGCTTAAACTAACAGGAAGATGTGATGCCAGAGACGTCTGACCCTCTCTGCACACCATGAACCTGGGCAACTGCTGTTAGCAGGCAGGACCCAGTCGGCTACGAACCTGAATGCTAAATAGCAGCCACTGCACCACTCAGAAATGAATTGATTTAAGAAACACCTTGCACTGACTCCCCTGTCTCAATAAGAGCAATTGGTATTGGCCCAAAAAAAAGGGAATGACATTCTATATTCAGGGGTCACACGACACCAAGTTATAGTCCAACAGATTTATTTAAAATCACAAGCTTCAGAGTGCTGCTCCTTCTTCGGATGGAGGGAGATGGACAGGTACAGAATATATAGGTGGAGAGATAATGGCAAGATAATTCCAGGTAATTAAGAGTGTCAACAGATAAGTATAATGCTTTCTGACTCCAAGGTACTCCTCCTACTCCCCTCCTTCAACAGGCTTCTCTTCATTGGGTCACTGATTTCCCCACTTGCTGGTCCATAACTCTGACAAGTGTCAGCATATATGAGAGATCTTGTTCATGTTGCATTGGACATGCTCCTGAAAGACTGAGCCAGGTTCTCTTAGAAATTCCCTAGCCCATAGGACTGTGAACTCTGTCATTAATCATGCGCGAGAGTACATTCAATAGGTCTTTGGTTTGTATAGCAAAGCAATCAAGGGATATGGGGTTAGGGTGAAAAGTATGTGCACAGTCCCTAAGAGCAAGGATGATATTTACTCATGGTGAGAACATGCATGCTGGGTCTATTAACAGGGGGAGATTAGAGCACTGTAGCTACCACATTGTTCTCACTGACTGGGAAACTCCCACTCTTACTGCCTGCCAGAGGTGCATTGGAAGAATTTATAGATTGACAGTTGGCTTGTTTGGCACAATCCTTCCAACACTATCAAAACCTGAGGTGGAAGTTGAACCTTAAGGTCCAGAGAGAGTGTCTCTACTCACAGCATCAAGGACATCCTTTCCAGAAAATAGAGTTGAAATCAAACACCAGCCTTCATCGTAATTAGTAGTGAAGCAGGAGTGAGAGGCTGAATGGCCTGCACCACTTCCTGTTTCTTATACTCTGATTATCAGTGGCTCTGTGACTTTGCTACATTATTCTCATTGAGTTGTGGTGACTCAGTTACTGTTTGTTCCAAAGATGGGAAGAATAATTTTAAATGTATACTTAAAAGCTTCTACCTTCAGTTTATGTCCTTCAACTCCTTGATACTCTTTGCCATCTAGTTTCTTCCAACGCTGAAGGAATTTTAATACTTGAGCACTGTCGGGCCGCACAATCTGAAACCCAGTCACATTTGCTCCTGCATGCTGGAATTTATCGAGATCCATGTCCATGAAACCCTTCGATACAAACCAAGACAGAAAGATGCAGATTATCAGCATGTGACAGATGGGGGCCCTATAGTTGTCCAATTCTTAAAATAAATGTAATTATCCTGGGAGTCAGGGCTGGTCTCTCACTGACTGAGCTGGGAGTCAGGGCCGGTCTCTCACTGACTGAGCTGGGAGTCAGGGCTGGTCTCTCACTGAC